TAAATGACATTTATTTATTCTTTCCTTATTTGTTGTGTTTTTTTACTTTATTTTATTTTACATGTATGTTTATAGAGCACTTTGATAGTTTCACAAGTCTTTTACAGCACTTCCTATTTTTTGTTTGTTTGTTTTTGATACAGAATCTTACTATGTAGTCCTGACTGACCTTGAACTCCGAGGGATCCACCTGGCTCTACCTCCCAAGTGCTAGATTTAAGGGAGTATGTTAACACCACCCTATCTGGCACATACCATTTTTCACAAGCCTTATTCTCTTCATTTAATATTTGTTGTGCTGATTAATAAGGAACAACTCAGTCTCCCCCATTCTTCACTCTCCTTGTTGCTAAATAGCTATCCTGAGTAAAATGCTCTTTCTCATAGTAATGTGTTGGCTCCCCCCACCCTTTTTTCTGATTGTTCTAGTATTAAAATTGATCTTTTAACTTGAAATAATTGTTTTCAAATTAGTAGTAAAGTTCACTGTGTCTCCATTTCCTTTCCAACTTTTGTACTATATAAATTACATCTATATGCGAGACACATTAACATGGCTTTCTCGCTATTGCATTAAGTAGTTATAGTTCAACTTGACGATGAGAATGGCGTTTTCAGCTTTACTGGTGCATTGGAATTTCTGCCTCCTGCCCTGGAGGGATTTTTTTAATTCCTTTGAGATGATTTGATACTATTGAATTCCTCTTCCTTTTGTTTATCTATGAAGGAATGCTGCAGGTTCTCATTTTTCATGAAAGTCGATTATCCTGGGTAATTTACATTTTCGTCATACTGAGTGTTTGACCATTATCCACATTTTTTTATTCCTCATTTACACTCTTGTGACTTTCATTAAATTTGCTGTTGACTGACTGTAGTTCTTCTAAAATACCTCATGGTTGTGTACAATACTTAACTCCGTAGTATTGTTTAGTCTTTATGTTTGATTTTAACTTGGTATTTCCCTTTTCAACACAATTTGTGGTGATGTTGAAGCTTCCCCATTTTAGCGTCTTTGAGCCATGAATATATGATGCAGCCCTTTTCTATATCTAGAGTGTCTGCTTTTCATTGCTCAGGTTTGAGGCCAGGACCTTGCATATGCTAGGCCCATGTTGGACTTGCACACCCCTAATGGTGAAGATCAACTTGACTCTTTAACTTCTTTGAAGGGCTCGTTTTTTTGTGTGTGTGTGTCCCAGTTTGACATGTTTCCATTAATGAGCACTACCACAAGTTTCTGAGACATTCCAGAGATGTTTCATAAGGTGACTAACTAATGGCAAAGCATGTTTTGACCTCCGTCTTCTCATAGAATTTAGTTTTAATTCTAATAATTTGGTGAAATTGGAAGGCTAGATTCCACTAGTGTACCTAATATATATGTTGAAAACAAGCTCAGAAACTTGTGTGTATCAGGCATAATACCTTTTTGGAGGTTGTTGCTGTGTCTTGGTGATAGAGGACTTCCCTAGCATGTGTGTTACACAGGACATAGCATTGAAAAAATTTCTGGAGATTATTCAGTTTACCCTACATATAGTATTTGGAGAAGCTTTCTATGAAAATAACAATCATTTTCTATACATACTTGATTGGTGTTATGTGAGAATCTCATAGTGAGATTGGTACTATCTCACTATATTAGGTAAAGTATTTTTTGCAGACATTAGTTGATGTTTCTGACAGTTCAAAAGGAGATTTAATGTTTTAAGTAGCTGATTATGGAGGAAATTTGCATTCTTGACATCCTTATTGGCTTGGATTCATGTAAGGGTATTTTCTGCTCCTGAACTAAAGGTTGATTGACAAGACGACTACCAGAAAATGGGTTACAGTGCAAGTTTTTATTTCATTCAGTGTGGATGAGAATCAGGCTTCAGACATTATCTAGAAGTAGCAAACTACTGTTAAGTGCAGAGAGATGACTATTTGATTATGACAAGTTGTCAATTTCAGACTTTAAGGATAGAAAGGCTTCTATTTCAAATTGGTTGTGAGACTGTAATCTGAACCCCCAACCCAAGTTCATTAAGTAGGAACATTGAGAACAACCTTTTTTGGGGGGCCGGGGGGTTTCAAGACACGCTTTCTCTGTGTAGCTTTGCGCCTTTCCTGTAGCTCACTTGGTAGCCCAGGCTGGCCACGAACTCACAGAGATCCCCGTGGCTCTGCCTCCCGAGTGCTGGGATTAAAGGCGTGTGCCACCAACACCTTGCCGGTAAGGTACTTTTTTTGAAGAGTCTCCTTCCCTCTCTCTGCCTCTGTCTTTCCCCTCCCTCCTCCCAACCCCCGTCTCAGACTTCTTTGTAATGTTGAGCTCAGTGTGTTTCCCCACAGTTCAACTCATTTATTAGTATTTTTTTCGACCCTCATTCAACAATCCTGCTTTAGTTATCCTCTGAACAACCAGGATACGGAATTAGTTACAGTTCCTGCCCTGTGTGAGTTATCAATCTAGTGGGAAAGATCAGCGTGGACATAGGGAATTCGAGCAATTCAATATATATACTCTTTAGGGAAAAGAATTACAAAGTGCCATGTGGTTCAGAGGAAAATCCTTCTACTAAGCCTAAAGATGCCAGAGGTCCAGGCAACCGAAGTCTATGATTAAATCTTAAAGGTTGACTAGTTAGTCAAAGAGAGGTTTGGGATGGGATATCTAGAGGAACCCTGAGATGGATCTTAACAGAGAGGGCGATTGGTGAAAGCATGGACATAGACTGGTGAATTGGAAAATAATAAAGGCCATTAGGCTATAAGTGTTGCTAAGGTCAGGGCCTTGGCTTGGATTTGTATTATGAGAACTTCCAGACAGGGAGGCTTCTGAGGATTCTAGTGGTAGTGCCGAACAGTCACAGGCAAAAGTTCTTGTAGTGTATGTAAAAGGGTTAGCTAGAGGCAACTTACTGGCTAACTAGAGGAAAGAAACAAAAAGATAAACCAAAACTTTTTTAATTGTAAAAATGTGCACCCTTAGTCTTACCACTTTTCTTTCTCCTGTTCCATCGATGGATGTTTAGTTTACTTTCCATAGAATACATTACATTCTTGGAAACTTCCATACAGCAAGTAAGTGGTGATTCTCAGTGAGACACTGAAATAACAGCAGAGCTGTAATCATTCTCATCCCATCTGCTCTGCTTTCACTGGCAGTTTCTCCAGACTTTTATTTTTGTTCTAAAAAAAATGTGAGGGATTTTAAAGAAATAAATATTCTTTGTTATTGGATCCATTGCTGCATTAGAGACTTAAAAATGTTCATTGTTTTATTTTCAAAACACAAATATATACAATAATTGAAACTAGCCAGTGTTGACTTTCTCTTCTCAAAGCAACATAAAACCTTGCATGTTGTCATATGCATATAATCCCAGCATTGGAGATGCTTACATGGGAAGATGATGTTGACTTTGAGGCCAGTCTGGGTTTCATAACAAGACCCCATCTCAAACAAAAAACTCATGACATATTTCTAGTTCAGACCTGTACTATTAATCTTTAGGATTCAAGTAATGGATTTATGACCAGGAGAAATGGTAGATGGATTTTTTTTCAAGAGCACCTATATTAATCACTAACTTGGAGTACTTCAAGGGGAGATTTGGGAAAGGAAGCCCTGAGCTATGCAGGAAACCAACCTAGGGTTTGGGCTTTGGCATTGGCTAGCCTGTTCTTAGACTGCTTCCATAGTTACTGATGTAGTTTTTGCCCAGTAGTTAAGATTGCTTAGAATATAAGAGGTTATTGAATTATTTGTTTCAGTCTGTAGAAAAGTCCAGTAATAAAGATATGTCAGTTATAGTTACTGTTAATGATGTTTAATATGACAGGGATTAAAGAAGAGAGATAAGTACCACTATATCCATTGAATTGTTCAGGGATATTAGCGGGGGATGGGGGGCATTGTTTTCAGTGACTCATGTAAAATCACTTTAGATATTTTTTTCTGCTAGTCCATGTAGAAAACTAGATGGTTTTTCCATCCATATTCTGATTAGTAATCTATTGCCATTGCTCTTTGTTCTAAGTTAAAAACTGTTGAAGACTTGGGTTACACCTGAATAAAACCATTTTTATAACCACAGAAAAGGCTGCTTTGGAAATGGTCACCGCAGAACTGAAACCTAATTCTAGCTGTTTAGTAGCTATGTTATTTAATGCCTATACCCAACACGCCAAATATTGGTTTCAATCATGCCATGCTTAATTTTCAGAGTTTCCATGAAGATATATGTAAAACATATCAGGCACTCTATAATTAAAACTTGGTTGGTTCTTGGGACACTCAACGCCTGAGAGAAAGAAACAACAGCACACTTTGATGCTCAGGACTTCATGGATCCAGCAGCGACCTGGAGTGGTGCTCCTCTGAAGAAATCCTACTCGGATGGATATAATACAACCTGCTAAGTGTTCTAGCACTTATCAGGTTGTATTATCATTGTCCGTGGCTATGGCTCTCGTCTATCAGACTAAATCCTTAAGGGCAAGGACGGTGCCTTATTCGTCTTTGTATTCACAGTGCCTAATCCAGTGCACATTGTAGGCCTCATTAAATGTTTGTTGAATGAAAAAATGAATCATCAACAGACATTAATTGGGCGCCTGCTCTGTGATCTCCATGGGCTCAGCTTGTTCCTGCCAGTTGCCTACAGCATCTGAGGTCTCTTCAACGTACTGAAGCTTAATCCTGTCTTCTCAGTCTTGGAATGAGGACTGTGCTGTGTACTGTAATGATAGAGAATATACTTGTGGACCATTTCCAACTGACTGATAATGTGTGTCTCGGTTGTGTTTTGTAAAAAGCATTCTATAGCAAGTTCTAATCTGTGCTGAGGGTGTAAAAGGGAGAATAGAAGCCCAAATACCTTCAATGTCATATTTGATCATGTGTTTTCTATGAAATATCCATTTATATGCCTGTGTTTTGGGATTGCCTGCTTTTAGATGTTGTGTGGCTCCTGTTGTTACTATAATTGCTACCAATTACTCCCTAGGTTGAACCACAGTGATCATTGAGTAAAAGCTTCATCCTTGCAATATGGGGTCTGCTCTTATGGTTGGTATTCAGTTCATCCTTTTCAACTTTGCCTAGCTTTCTCCTAAACTGCATTTATTCCCCCCCCCCAATATAAAAGCAAAGCGCCTTTATTTTCTTTTCTTTTTATTTTATTTTAATTTAATTTTTCTATTACCAGCTTGATACAGTACAAATTCTTATCCTTATAGTGAAATGTTTCACTGAGGCTTGCCCAGTGATTGAGTAAAACTAAAACTTATAAGCCACAGTCATCCTAGGGTCGGTCCCTCCTGCTTTGTAGCCCCTTAACTACATTTATAGGTAGGCTTCCACAGTCCTATCTACCAACTACTAAACTCATGTTTCCTTTTTCTTATGCTTGCTTAATTTCTATTACCCCATGAGATATCTTTCTCTTAATGTATGTGACAAAGAGAATACATGTTAACCAACCCTTTCAGCATCCTACAGCGAGTCATATATTCACCTTTTTTCTATTGGGGAAAATCAGCTGTGTTTGCAGACCTTCAGAGTGACATTGTGGATGGGGGAATGAAGGCCTGGGTGATACATATGAGGGTTAGGGAGTATGTTAGTTACTCTTCTAGGACTGTGAACAAAAATGCCATGCCCCAGAGCAGATTGAGGAGAGCAGGCTTTCTTTTGCTTTTAGCTCCAGAAGGACATTTTCCACATTGCCAGGGCAGGGAATACCCAGCATCGGGCAGGGAGGCATGGCTTTAGGATCAGCAGGCAGAACTAGAACAGGAAGTGAGGCATGCTAGAAAACCGTCATCTTACCCCTAGTGGCATCCCTCTAGAGAGAGCCCACTCCTGAAGGGTCGCATAACATTCTCAGAAGGTGCCACCAACTGAGGACCAAGTGTTCAAATACAGAACTGTACTTGGACAGTGCTCTTTCAAACCACCCTGGAGGGTAAAACCTGCATCTTGGAGAAACATGGTAACTTTAGATTAAAGGAACTACCTGTTCACTGATGAATGCTGAGTTATGAAGGAAAGAACTTAAGAACGAAACCTCTCCTTTTCAGACATGGGCTGTGAGGAGACCGCTATCCAGGGACATGGTTTCAGAGATGGAGCTGCGTAAGGGGAACTGCAAAGTATGGATTAGGAACACTTTCTATGTACTCTTTAGGCAGGCACAAAGGCTAGAGTATATAGTTGATATGAGAGAATAGGGCACCTATCTAGTGATTACAGGGAAAAAATACCGTTTGGTTGCCTTAATTGAGGGTGGCTAGCAAGAAAAGACTTGCACAGAAATGCATAAGTGGTCCTGGAAGGATATGAGGTCCGGAGTAGACTCTGCCTAAGAACTATTCTGGAGGACATTCATGGTTTTCCTTGGTTTGAAACAAGATCTATCCAGGTAGTCCTGACTGTAAACTCCTACATAGATCCCCCAGGCCCCAAACTTGTAGCAGTCCTGCTTCTATCTTCCAATTTTTGTGATCGTGGACATACATGGCCCAGCGAACGTTGCCCAATCTGGATGTTGACCTCTTGGGACATAGAACAGTGGTAGAGCATTTGCCAAGCAACATGAGACGTGTAAGCTTCAATCCCCACTATGGCCAGGGGTGATTACACAATATTTTAATAGTGTGTACGTTCATTAATCAGAACAGGGTGGGTGAACGTTAACTGACATCACCACCAATAAAGAACATTCTTGGATCAGGAAACATCCAATTTATTGCCTCACATGCTAGTGTTTTTCTATTGCTATTGGAAAATGCAGAGAAATGGCATTGAGGTTTTACAAGAAACAGACCTATTATGAATGAGCACTGCAAGCAGACTTATTTGCTGTGTATCCCTGTTTCTCATGCTTTTTTCTTCGTCCTCAACATGGAGTCTTTTGGCCAATGAGTTTCTGTCCCAGAACAGCACCCTTCGTTTTAAGTTAGACGAAAAATAAAAGCAACAGGGTTGCCTAAAACCTCTGCTCACCAGGAAACCAGAGGCTTTTTTTCAGTTACATGTCCCTCCTTTCTTGTGCATTTGTGTGTGTACACCATTCCTTCCCAGTGCTGCTGTCTTTACACATGTAAAATACATAAATCCTTATACTATGGTAGACTTCCTACACTTTTAGACCCCCAACAGTCAAAAATCCCCATTCTGTAGTGCAGTGTCAGAAGACAGGACTCTAAAGCTGTATTTGGGTTTGAGCAATAAAATTCCACCTTTGCATGAATATTGTGGGCAGTGGATATGAAAGTAGCTGCAAACTTTCATTCACCAGTGAAAGCTGAATTAATCGTCAATGCTATACTATCGAGTGCTCATTAGTCTGATAACACCTATTTTGGCAACTAGAGAAGCTATATGCAAGTGTAAACTACAGCCACAGTAGTCCCTCTCTTTTTGCTTGGTCATCGGGGACTAAAATTTGTTTGGGGGTAATTATTGAGTAAAGTTTTATTAGTAAATCATGGACATTAGGAGATTTGGTTAATTCTCTTGTGGTGGGTGGAATAGGACATAGATGTGTTAACTCTTCTGACTTTCAAATATTGTCCCACTGAACTCCTAGGAGACATTTAACTCAAGCTTTATGTCTTATCTTGGATCTTGCCTCTTCTTTCTTGTGTGTCCTAACAGAATTTTTGTTCTTTTCCCCCACCCCGATGTGTTTCAGGAATCTCTTCCTTTGAATCAATAAAAAGCTCCATTGTGGATCAAAATTCAGTGAATGTTGGGAATGGAATCCATGTTGCTCTCTGGATGTATCAATGGGAGTGGTGCCCTAAGATAATGTAAAGGAAGGTTGTAACTTGCCCTGTCCAAACCACAAATGCTTGACATTTTTGGCAGATAATGGACCCGAAAGCTCTTATCAATGGAAGGAGTAAAATTGGGATCTCTTATATGTGTGAATGAATTTAGAAGGCAACTGTTTGTTTCCCCTTCGGATACAATGAGTGAAGAAAATGTAGTGAATGAGCTCTCTGTCTTCTGTGGAGCACAATCCATAGCTTTTCAGTATCTTGTCACTTTTAAATGTCACTGCTTTTATGGAGATTTCTGTTTACCGGATTGGCAAACAGTATGCTTTTAATTGAGTCTGATATAATGTTAAAAGGCTCAAGGAGCGGGGATAGCACAAGAAGTGCTGAATAGCTGAGTGAAAATGTAGAATGGGGGGACCGTGTCCAGGAAACAGTGTCCCGACCATCCTCAGAGCTGCCATAGCCGTACAATGTCAGTCTGAAATGCATGATGGCAGTTCCAAAATATGACGAACTGCTGCTGTGGAGAAGGATTTTTATAACGGTATATACTTGTTGTTCTATATTTTTATTCTGGTATTTTTTTCATTTCAAAATTTAAAAGTTATATTTCTATGTCATGTTCTTTGATAAATACAATATAAAGTCTACATAGAGTATGTACTTTACTGCATTTATTTCGATACTACCCAGTTACAGTACTTTTGGGCCTTGCCCATTTTTTTATAGCATATAACATTGTATGTACATTTGTATGAAAATAAATTTCTACCAATGTATTCCTTTATTTGAAGACTTCTTTGGGCATTATAAAGGTGCTTTTGACTTATTCACAATACAGTTGTATAAATAACAGTACTACCAGTAGTGAATAAATGCGAATATTTCTTTAAACAATTAGAATATAACTTCTCTTATTCTAAGGTTCTACTAAATTCATAAGTATTGTGTCTTTTGAAATTTTTAATTTATAAGTTCAGCAAAAGTTATGTGTGTAGATATATATGTAGTATATGATATCTTTAGTTCATGCAGAATATTTCTGTCACTTTAGGCAATGGAGTTTGGTGTTTTACACAGAGGATCTGTGTTGCCCTGCCTGACCTTGAATTGTGTAGTAGAATTGCAGATACATACAGTCATACCCAGCAGTAGGAGGTCTTTTATATTCATTCCCTCCTTACCTCTATACATGGGAACAACTGATTTATTCTATATACGTAGCTGAAATTTTGGTTTCTAGAAGGTCAAATAAGCAGAATCCTACAATGCATAGAATTCCGTGTCTGCTTTGACTTCCTAAATGTAAATTAGATTCACCGTTGCTGTTACATGCACCATTAGAGCAATTCCTTATTGCCAAGTATTGAGTTCATTGTGTGGGAGGACTACAATTTCAGTTGCATTCTCTAGTTGTTGAACATGTGTGATATTTCTACTTCTGATGATTATGAGCAAATTTCAGAAAGACGTAAGTATAAGGTTTTTTAAGATTTATTTTAATAATCTTTATTTATGTGTATGCACATGAGTAGCAGGCCTGTGGAGGCTGGATGTCAGAGGTACCAGGTTTTCCCTGGAGCTGCAATTGCAGGCAGTTAGAAACTGCCTGACAGGGGTGCTGGAAATCCAAATAAGGTCCTCTACAAGGACACTATGCCCTCCTAAACACTAAGTCATCCCTCTCACCCTCTAGGTACAAGGTTTGGGTGGTAGCAATGTTCATTTCTGTGGTAAGAGTGGGGATGAGTTCAATTGTCTTTTCAGTTTTCATGTAAGACAATTGTAGTAGCTCTGCCTATGGAAATGTTAGGCATTCGGGTTTGGTCTCACAGATCCTTGAGGGCTTAAAGTATTTGAGTTTCTTTTCTCTCTGAATTCTCTACTCGAGTGTCCCTTGTTCCCCTTTTTATTGGATTGTTCCTTTTACTGTTGAACTTTGAGATTTTTCATTCAGTCTTAATAAAAACTATGTTATGTGGAAATATGGTCTTCCTATTGCCTTGTGTTTTCAATTTTGATGTTTAGTTATCAGTGTTTTTGAATCATAGATTATTGTTTGGTATGCTATATATCGGAACCTTTATGAATAGTTTCATCTGGGGGTTTTATATTTCATGTTTTATACATGTATTCTTTTAATTGCATTTTTCCTGAGGGAAGATCAGATTGTAGGCCAAATACATGCTAAGCATGTGGTCTACTACTGAGCTGCATTCTCAGTACTCTGTGTAACAGCTGTATCCTGGAACGCACTGTGTAGACCGCCGCCCCCCCCCCCTCCCCCGTGCTGGGATTAAAGGCGTGTGCCACCACCGCCCGGCCCCAGCTCTCTTTTTTGTAGTGTTTATTGCTGTGAGTTTCCCTTTTATAATTCTATTTCTTCCATTTCAAAGGCTGCCATATGTTGTGTTTACATTTTCATTTGTCTCCAGATATTGTGAACTTCCATTTTGATTTCTTCTGTGACCCATTGACACTGATTGTTCAGAAGTATGTTGTGTCATTTGCATGTAATTTTTCCAAAGTTCTTCCTGTTACAATTTCTCAGTTCATCATTTTAAGGTCTGAAGCATTATTTTAAGTTATTTCATTCTTTCTAACTTTGTTGAAACTGGCCTTGCATGTGATCTGTTCTATAGCATTTTCTGTATGAGCTTTATAAAGTGTGTATGCTTTTAGTGGTGGAGTGTTCTGCATGTTTTCAGGTCATTAGCACTAACATTGATCTGTCAGTATTTCCTTGAAATTCATAATTTGGATGAATCTTTTAGGAGCTACTATCTGTCACTTCAGGTCCTATTTTCTGCGTTTCAACATAGTCCAAACATATTGTGGACCTCTTGGCTAATTTTCCACTTGGGTCATAATCTTTGTGATATCATTCTATTAATTCTAGTCCATGGTCCAGAGTGCCAGGAGCAATTTTTTTAAATATATATATTGGATATCTGTTCAAAAGAGCATTTTGCTCCTCGTGATGCCTTATCTTGATTGTCAGCTTCACAGGATTGAGAGTCACCTAGCAGATAAACCTCAGGGTCTTCTGTCTTTGAGGCTGATTCCAAAGTGGTTAAACTAGGGATGGAAGTTTCGTTTTGCATGAGTTGATCGTGTGGGTTGGAGTAACAAGGAGAAAGTATGCTGAGAGCCAGAATTCATCTTTCTCTGCTTCCTAACATTGGGCACAGTGTGATCAGCCATCCTATACCCCTGTCATCATGACTTCCCCAAGCAGACTCTTCTGTCCTCGGGGCTCTGATGTTGCTCCTTGTCAATTATTTGGTTGCAGTATAAAGGAAAGTTTACTCACATGCTCCCTCATATCATAAACTATTAGTGTGTCCATGTCATGCTCCAACTTGGAGGTCAGGCTGAATTTGTTTTTTGTCATTGTTTTGAGACAGGCTTCTCTATAGACAACACTGGCCTCAAACTTCCTCCGCTTCGCAAGTGCTAGGATTGAAGGCATGTGCCGCCACACCCATCAAGTTCTTTAATGCCGTACACGCACAGATACCTAAGAGGATGCACTAGGCCATAGTGAACATATGTCCCCTATCCTGGGGCTTCCTGATAACCAGCAGGTAGAGAGGCAGAGCCACTAACTGCCTTTCCGTAGGCCACACACAGAGTGTCATCTTCTTCTCAGTTGCTGTGATGACTTTTTTTTAAGAGCAGTTTTTCCAGTTTTAGTATTCATGCTTTTCCAGATTTTCTTTGATCATTTTGAAGATATCTTACTTTCTTCAGGACTCCAAATGTCTTCTGAGAAGACTAACGTGCTTTGCTAGTGCTAATTGCAAAATTCTGTCTTGTCCTTGACCTTTAAGAATTTGTATGGGCTTCTTTGAGTTTATCTTATGCCCCTGGGCTTGGAAAATAGGGAAATGGGATGTATAGCTGCTTTCTGAAATGAGGATAGGTGGGCTTTGTCTTTTAAGTTTGTCAGTTTTGGTTTTGCAGTGCTAAGTAGAATATCCAGGGTCTCATTCATGCTAGGCAAGTGCTCTACACTTAACCATGGCAAGTCGTTGCATGGCCTGCAGGGACTTAAATGTGGTTGGGGCCACAAGGGAATGAAGAAAAACAGACACAAAGAAAGAATTTGGTTCAGATGGACTGGAGAAATCATGGCATCCTGGAAACTTACGTTTCTTATGTCACAGTCCAGGCAAGAAAGTTACAGGCCACCACAAAGTAAGACCTAAGTAGAGCTCTTTATTAGCTGGTAACCAAGATGAGGCTCTTGCCACACAGGACACTTGGCACTGAAGTTCATGGTTACAATGTTTATAAAGGCAAAATCCACAAACCCCACAATGATGTCATTGTCAATTGCAGGTCAAGGGAACCTTGTAACATTTGCTTTGGCCAAGCACATCAGTTGTTTTGGTTATACATCTGGGCCATCATGGACAGTCTGAATATGTTGCTAAAGCAGATGTGGCTGTTCAGGGGGTATCTTAGTTACTATTCTATTGCTGTGAAGAGACATGTGAACAAAGCCTTGTTTACAGGGTTAGTTCGTGATCATCATGGTGGAAAGCATGAGCAGCATGGCACTGGACCAGTAGCTAAGAGCGTGTCTGCGCGCGTGTGCGTGCGTGCGTGCGTGCGTGCGTGCGTGCGTGCGCGTGTGTGTAACAACATTTGCTGGAAGCAGCAAGGTTGAAAGCAAGGGGCAGTAAAGAAACCGACAAGGCTACTCCATGGTTAGAGGGAATAAATTTATTGTAGATAAACTAGCCAAAGGCATCTGGGGGTGTCTGCCATGGCTATCTCGCAGGGACTGAGTGGAGCAGAGAGAAAAGGCTGGAAGATAGGCAGGCTGGCAACTGCCATGGCTGGGAGAGCAGAGAAGACAGCCAAAATGGAAGAGTCCTGCCAATTAAATCGGCTTATGTTGCAGTGGGAGGAGGGCGGGTTAGCTGGAACAGCCCGGACCTAGTGTCTGGCTCTGAACTGTTGGAGGTTTGTTTGAGTTAATAGAGAACCAATTCCCTTTCCGGAGGTTGGGGAGCTGTAGGAGCAGATAAGAAGGGAATGGCTTTTCCGGGCAAACATGCCTCAGAAACCCACTTTACAAGGGTTCTGAGGAATGCTGAGTGTTTCCAAGGTCAGAGTCCAGCCTGAGCTGAGGCCAGATTGCCATCGGGGGGTTGGGACCTGACATTATCCCCTCTAAATGTTGAAAGCAACATGTCAATAACAGCCGTTTGTGATTTTGTGTGCTACTGTGGGTCTCTGGAGGGTCGATAAAGTAACTTCTTCCGCTGCAAAACTCTGGTTTAAAAAAGCTCTAGACAAAGATTCCTTATCTCTTCCCACCATGTTTAATGTGTTGTTTGATAAATGAAGAGCACAGCTCTTAATCCCAGCACTCAGGAGGCAGAGGCAGGCAGATCTTTGTGAGTTCAAGGCCAGCCTGCTCTTTGTGAGTTCAAGGCCAGCCCGCTCTACAGAGTGAGATCCAGGACAGATGTGACAGATGAGATGCAGAGAGATGTGGTTAGATAGGTCAGGCTCATGAAGGATTTAAACGACCCCAAGGGTGAGCCAAGGTGTGGAAGGGCTATGGATTATAGCTAGGGCCTGCCTTCCTTCTTCCTTCCTCTTTTTGGCTTGTTTGGTTGGTTGGTTGGTTTTTTTTCCTCTAATATCAGTGTTGTAATTGAGACCTGTAAACATGCTTTGAACTTAGTTAACTTTAAATTTTGTGACAGGGTCTCCCTACACAGTGTGGCATAGCCATAGCCCCTTCCACGTGAGTGCTGGCTTCCCAGATGTGTACTTCCATATCTGACTTAAAGGTGTCTTCAGTATCATGAACTTTTCTTTCTTTTTTCTTTTTTTGAATTTAGCATTCTAAATTTTATTTACTTTTTATTTTATAATTTAATTTAATTTTACGTATCAGCCACAGATTTCCCTGTCCTACCCCCTACCCCACTTTCCTTTTTTGGTTTTATAGAGACAGGGTCTCACTTTGTACTCCAGGCTGGCCTCGAACTCACAGAGATCCACCTGCCTTTGCCTCCTGAGTTCTGGGATTAAATGCATGGGACACCACCACCTGGATATTTTTTTTTTATGTGTGTTGGTGTTTTGCCATATATGTCTGTGAGGGTGTCAGATCTCCTGGAACTGAAGTTACAGACAGTTGTGAGCTCTCATGTAGGTGCTGGGAATTGAACCAGGGTACTCTAGAAGAACAGCCAGTGCTCTTAACCTCTGAGCCATCTCAGAGATGTTTCTCTTAACAGCTGGACCTGGGAAGAATCCTGGCTTCACCTCCTGAGGCAGCCCCTGGCGGACTCAATGCAGTGCCTTCTTTTCTGGATTCCATTGCTGCTCACTCAGGTTCTCAGCCCCCATCGTCCTTCTGCTGCCTTTGGTCCTGTGTTAGTGGCCTCGCCTGCTTTACCAGCAGCTCTTTCAGCCCTGACTGTCCTTCCAATGTGTAGTGATCCTCTGACCAGCATGCTTTCCCGGGATCTGCTGGGCCGGAGTTCCTACAGGCCTGGCCCTGACGCACTCTACCAAGCTGTCGTTCAAAGATGACACATGTGTATTTTTTTTCTTTCTCTGAAGCAGCATCACTGCTGACACCTGGAAAGTGGCAGTCTGCAGTATTTCCACAGAGAGAGCTGCTTCCTCTGCACCAAAAAGCCACTTTCAAGTCCATCTTCCTTTAACTGTATTGTAAGAAATGACATAGTTGAGATCTGTTGGACCTCCTGAATATCACAGAAGCATGTCTTGCTGCTGTTTGTATATTACACTTGGGTATTGCCAATTGAATAGGCCAATATCTCAGTTTGAGTACCATGTCACCTGGTATATATCATAAAGTTATTCCATTTGACTTTGGAAGTTCCCTTTATTCACCCATAGCAAGGTTGAGATGTGCCTATCCCTAACATCACTGCCAACGTTGGTGTGAACGGAAATGCACGTTCTGGCTGTGCATGACACGGTCGTCAGAAACACTTTCATTTGAGCAAAGTCTCCCTGCCCAGCACTATTTATAATAACCTGCAAGCCCATCTTTTCCTTTGTAAATCTATGGATCATTGCCTCCTTCGCTATTGTTTCTACTTCTGGTTCTGCTACCATTCAACTCTTCTTCTCAGGAGAGGTACCCAGAGATCCAGAGCTGCGGTAGAGAAAGTGGCCAAAGGCTCCAACAGTCACTGGCTCATAGAGCAAGTCATTATTGAGGGACTTGGGAAAGAAGTGGCAGAGTAAGTCCTCCCAGCACATAGCCTTGCCTACAGCTGATCTCCTTCTTCCTCAGAAACTAGAGCTTCACCAAGTTTCCTCAAATCATACTACAAATACCCGCTCTCAGCCAGCCGGTGGTGGCACACACATTTAATGCCAATACTGAGGAGGCAGAGGCAGAGGCAGGTGGATGTCTGTGAATTCCAGGCCACCCTGGTCTACAGAGTGAGTTCCAGGACAGCTAGGGCTGTTGCACAGAGAAACCCTGTCTTGAATGCCCCCCCCCAAAAAAAATACTCTCTCCTCTATCTTTCCTGTGTGTGTGTGTGTGTGTGTGTGTGTGTGTGTGTGTGTGTGTGTGTGTTTCCACACTGCAGGTGGAGGTAGAATCCAGGACATTCTACAAGCTAGGAGGGCTGTGGGACTGAACTACATCCCAGCCCTCATTTCTCTACTAAATCTAATATTTAATTTCTTGATGCATAAACTTAAGCACTGTTTTCTGTCAAAAGTTTCTGGCTTTCCATGTGAAAAGGTCTTGCGGCCTTTTTTAAGGGGCCGTTTTCAACCCTTCATGTGGGACTTCCTTAAGGACAAGAATCATCACATCTGACCAGCATTCCTTGCTACTGTCTCGTCTCCAACTTGTCCCTTGTGCCCTCTTGCTGTCAAATCTGATGGAATTTGGGGAGGGCGATCCTTCGTGCACCCAGAGTGTACAGCTTGACCTCAGATAATAGTGAACCGACTTGCAGACATTCTCCACATTGTCTGCAGACACACAGGGTCGGGGCCCATACACACTGGTTGACCTCTAGTCATCAGGCCAGCTGTTTGGCCATCCTTCCAAGCTCCTTCCAGTGTCTGCAGAAAGTTGCTAAGGAGTGGGGAACATCTCTGTCACAGCTTCAGGCTGGACAACCTGGCATCCATCAGGGCCTCCAAGTCCTGTCTCCCACAAGGGATGTCCTCTGCCAGGTCCCTCTGCTGTGCTGTGCAGAGGGCAGGACTTCCCTTCTGTGCCATTTCCTAGTGTGAGCTGTCTGGGGACAGCCTAGTCCAGGGAGGAGCTTCTCTCAGTGTCCGGCTAGTGTGTGTTTCTGTGGCTCCTCAGAAGCAAGAGCACTGCTGGTCTGTGCTGGAGTTTGCTGTGAGACAGGCCTCACCCTGTAGCTCAGGCTGAACTTGGACTGGAGGTCCTCCTGCCTCAGCCCCCCCCCCCCAGTACCTGGATGACAGGCATCCCACTATGCTGAGTTCTGGGTGTGGGGAACTGTGTTTTCTTGTTTGTTTGTTTGTTGTTTGTTTGAGACAGGGTTTCTCTGTGTAGTTTTGGTGCCTGTCCTGGAACTCACTTTGTAGACCAGGCTGGCCTCGAACTCACAGAGATCCACCTGGCTCTGCCTCCCGAGTGCTGGGATTAAAGGCTTGCACCACCACCGCCCGGCTGAAGTGTGGTTTTTAGCAAGGTCTCAAGCGCTGTTTGTACTTTTCATCCCTGGGCTCTGGAAAGCCCGGGTGTGCACCTCGGTGTATTTGGGGCTGCTTGGGCCTTTGCTCATGTTCCACTTCCTGCTCCTTCCTACCCGGGTGGCTGTGGCTGTGATGAGCTGGTGAAGGCTTTGGTCAGCACTTCCTTGTGGAGGCCCCCCCTTTAGGGAGGAAAGCGGGAAGCTGTGGTGCTGAGTGCTGCAGCCGGCAGGGAGGCTGCAGTGGCTCCTAGGAGCCCCTGGGGCCTGGCTCCCCTGCCTGAGCTGTGCTCCTGCACGTAGGCAGCAGGCCTGGAGTCTCAGTGCACAGGCCGGTAGCCCAAGGCCCGGCCCGCCCCCACCCTGCCCCACTTTTATTTTTCTCCCCTCTGGGCAGGGATTGGGCAAAGGCCTCATTATGCCTGCTACTGGCTCTACCACCGGGCCAGAGTGCCAAGCCGTGTCTACGGTTTTGTTTTTTTTTTTCTGGGTACTGCAAACATGGCCAAGTTTTGAAAAGCCCGTTTTTTGCGGTTCCCCAGACCACATCCACACAGTGACATAATCGAGATTACGGACTGGTGCGGTGTTATGAAGTCAGGAACCACAGGCTAGGGTATCTGCTGGATGGAAATGCTGCGTTTCAGTACGCGGGGTGGGGGGAGGGCCTGTGAGCCCAGAAACCCAGATGTGGAAGCTCGACAATCAGGACATGAGGGACAGGGGGGCTACCTAGGGAGGTAGAGGCCAGCCTGAGCTGCATCAGACACTGTTGTCAGCCAGAAGAAAGACCACAAAGAGAACGCTGAGTTTTCTTGCACTTTCCGGTCTATGCGCTATGGCGTTTTGGAAATGGCGTTTTGGAAAGAGAAAGGATGCTGTTTGGTACCCATTCTCCTTCATCTTTCTCTCAGTCAGAGAAGCTGTGAGCCAGGCTTCTTCCTCTGTTAGTTGGCCGCCCTACTGAAGCAGCGCTATTCCTATGCCGAGGGGTAGACACTGAAATCTGTGAGAGCGGCAGCTTTTGTACCCAGAGCCTCACGCTGAACCAGTTCAGCCGCAAGTTTGTGTGACTGCCACACACAAGCCTTTGCACATCTCAGTCTGTAATTCCGGGCCCGGCGCAGCTACATGCATGTGTCACTGAATGACCTAATTCCTTCCCCACTGCACCTTCTTCCTGTCGGGATGCCAGTGTTTTCTAGCGCCGGACATCCACCCCTAAACAGGACAGATTGTGGAGGAAAGGGAGTCTTGTTCCTCCCAATTCATGTGCAAGTGTACACACTTGACTGCATTGAACAATAAAGGGAGACTATCCAGTGCAATCCTGCAAGCTACAGTGTGTGTGTGTGTGTGTGTGTGTGTGTGTGTGTGTGTGTGTGTGTGTGTGTGTGTACACTTGTGCACGCCAACATGCCATGGCTCATATGTGGGGGTCAGAATAAGAATTTCCTGGGGTTGAATCTCTCCTTCCATGGAACTCAGGTTGTCAGGCCCTTTTGGAGTTTGTTTTTGTTTGTTTCTTCCATCTCCCTGTATATTTCTCCTGTAGCCCAGGTTGGCCTGGAATCACAGTGTAGCTGAGGATGGCTTTGAACTCCTAATCTTCTTTCCTCCACCTCCCAAGTGCTGGGCTCACAGGTATGGATCCCGTTGCCCAGCCTGAGTGTCTAAGCAGAGAGAGTGGAATGCAGAAAAGAGCTCAAGGAAAATGTAGGTTTCCTTCAGTGCTCCCCAGGTTCCAGTGCTGGCACCCCAGGAGGACCGTAGCTATTCTGTCAAGGCTGCAAGAGGCTCTGCCATTGCCAGATTTACAACTAAGAATAACACTGGGGTGGGCACATGCATGCCGTGTTTTGAGCATGATGGTAATAAAGACAAACTGAGGGGATCTGTTCTCTCCTTCTGTCTTTATGTGGGTTCCAGAGATCAAACATGACAAGTGCCACAACCTGCTGAGCCATCTCACTGGCCCTTAAGACATTATTGGAGACAGAGATCTCTAGAAAGAGAGAGAGAGAGGTCATGCCTCAGTGTGCCTGTGGAGGTTTAAGAGGACAGCTCTCAGGAGTTGTTCACTCCTTCCACTGTGAATTGACGGACTGAACTCATAGGCTGCATTTTCTAAATACATTATCAATGAATTCTTGGTAATGCTCCCTTGGAGAAAGAAATATCAGTACTACTTTTATATGATGGAATATAATTCAGCTGTTAAAACTGAGACAGAGCTATGTGTTGCTCTCACTTGTATTCCTGGTACTCCGGAAGTGGAGACGTGAAGATGAGGCGTTGAAGGGCGGCCTCAGTTGTCTTGAGTTGTTTTACCCCTGCACAAGTTGTTAATCATGAATGGACAACTGAGTACCTTCTGTCCTTCTGTTTTTACTCCTTGTCTTCTCACTCCATTCTTGGAGGAAGGACGGACAAGAACCCGGTGGAAGATAGCCATCTTGCCACCTTATCACAAGAATTGCCGTGCTTCAGCTCTCCAGTAACATGTCTCAAATTTCCATCCAAGCCCTCATCCTCATCCAAAGCACCTTTAAGATTCATATCCCTCCACCTTCCATCTTTGTCTGCGACAGGGTCCTGCTATGAAGCTTTGGCTGATCTAGGGCTCACTCTCTAAATCAGGCTGGTCTTGAACTTGCAGAAATCCTCCTGCCTCTGCTTCCCAAATGTCTGCTTGTCTGATCCAGAGGACGGGGCCTCTCCCCCAAATTCTAGCTAGCCAGGTATCTAATTGTTGGTGCCAGCATTCAACTTCTCAGAGCTGATTCCCAGAAAAGAGATGACTTGGCCACCACTTGGGTGGGTTCAGGAGACAGAGGATTAAACAAAAGTTTTATTTTATTTACATTATTTTATTTTGTGTGTATGTAGGGAAGAAAGCACATGTGTCATACATGTGGCATTCAGAGGACAACTTGTGGGAGTCAGTTCTCTCTTTCTACCATGCAGTTCCTGGGGATTGAATTTAAACTAGCAGGCTTGGTAGCAGGTGGCAACTCCCATTACCTAGTGAGCCATCTCACTGGTCCCAAACAAGGAGTACATTTGAGCCCTAAAGTCAAACAGAATTTGCCCTTCTAAGTTTTGGGCCTGCATGGAAGCTGTTGTGATGTGAATAGGAAACATCCCCCATAGGCCCGTGTGTTCCAGTATTTGGTCTCCAATTGGTGGTGCTGTTTGGGAGATCATCCTGAGTTAATGTGTGTCATTGACGTGGGCACCGCCATGTCAGGAATCATAGCCTCAGCCCCACTGAGTGACAAAGTCCCCTCCTCATCCCCATGAAGTTCAGAGAGATGATAAAGACTTCCTTAAGGGTCGGAGTGCAAATGCTGATGATAGTGTGTGCATAAAATGACCACTATGACTTCCTCCCCAATGGATATTTTATGGCCTGAAGAATGGTAGACTGTGCCTACTGAGACTAGCTAACCCTCTCTCCTTGATCCAACTGTATACTATAAACCCTACCTACCTCCTTGTTTATCAGTGTGCAATAATCCACCTCCCTGTTGTACTCTATATAATAAACATGCTGTGCTTCCAGGCTTTTGTGATTTCTCCATCAGAGAACCCAGTCCAGTTAACCCCAGCTTGTCTGTGTGTTCATTTGTCTGTCTTTATTCCCTGGCTGCCCCCAAGTCAGGTCAATCCTTGAGGCCATGCAAGATTGTAGCAGAAGGCTATGGAACCTTCAGGAGGTGGAATCTTTCGAGAGGAAATAAATCACTTGAGGAGAGCTTTGAGGTTTCATAGTCTAGCCCTGTTTCCTGTTTCTCTTTGCTTCCTGTGTGGGGCTGAAATGTGATTTGTTGCCTTCCCCATGGCTGGGTCAAAGTAGGGGCTACTTCAAAAAGGCACAAACGCTTAAAAGAGGATTGGGAATAGAGTAATGGCGGAGAGACAGTAAGAGTCTTGAAGCACAAAGGGAAGACAGTGTGAAGACAGGGAGAAGACAGGCATTTGTAAGTCTGAAGACATCCTTTCCTCGTGCGGCACAGAAGGAACCAAACGTTCTGATGCTTTGGCCTCAGGTGACTGCCCCCAGAACTGTGAGAAAAGAAATGTTATTTGGACATAGGCTCGATGATCTTGTAGATCTGTCTCTAGCTTCAAGAGTGTTGGGGGTTTAAACAATGAAGGAGCAGCCGGGAGATGGTGGCGCACACCTTTAATCCTAGCACTCAGTAGGCAGGAGGATCTCTGTGAGTTCAAGGCTAGCCCGGTCTACAGAGCGAGTTCCAGGACAGTCAGGACGGTTGCAAGAGGAACCCTGTCTCGAAATAAACCAAAACAAAGAAAAGAATCAGGAAGCTCTTCTCTTTTCTCCACACTAGTTTGCTTTTGAAAGTTCCTGACCCAGCTTCACGGTCATCTGTGTCCTGCACCAGCCAACAGCAGTTTTGTGTGTGTGGTCAGCCCTTTGCTGGCCAGCCAGGAGCTCCCACACTCAGCAGTTTCCCTTCCACTAAAGTGGAGGCTGCCACCAGTCTCCTGGCAACTGGCAGCTGTGAGCCCCCAACAACCTTTCTCTGGACCTCCACTTCATCTTCAACAGCATGGCCCTGATGGGGAAGGAGCCACTCTTTGTGAGGTGGCTAAGAAGGAGCATGAAGGCAATGGGCAGCTTTTGAAGGTGTGAAACCCCTGCTGCGGCGTGTCCTATTCCACCGTGTGCAGAAGCTGGTTTAAGACGGATGCAGTAAAACTCTGGGTGCCAGGCATGAAACCCTTTGAGAAGAGCTGCATCACATCCATCTTTTCTGAATGGTGAAGCCTAGAGTTCTGTCTCACACAGACCCCCATCTGGGAGAGACTACCATCTTTATGACTTCCTGCAGAGTTACTTCTTAGGTAAGGGAAAATTCACCAAGAAAATGGCTATCAGGGTTGGAGAGATGGCTCAGTAGTTGAGAGCACTGGTTGTTCTTCCAGAGGACCTGGGTTCAAGTCTCAGCACACACATGGCCGCTAACTCCAGTTCTAGGGGATCAAATGCCTTCTCTTCTGGCCTCTGCTGACACGGTATGCGTGTGGTACACAGACATACATGCATACACAACAACTGTACACATCAGGAAGGGGAAGCCATCACCTGACCAGCCTCCATGGGCTGCCTAGTTCCCAGGCCTACTCACCCCAATAGCTCATCCTCAAGCGTGATGGAGCATCGGGACCGAGTGGTTTTGAGGCATCATATCTCCTAGTGAGAGGGTCAAGTCTTCCTGTAGGATTCTTGTCTTGCTTCCCTTACGTGACTGGGGTGCTAAGAGGGGGGCTAAGAAACATTGACTATAAGGACTCATATTTAGCACTCCAGAGTAACTATTCAGATGGGAAAGTAGAAACCCTCAACCTCTCAGTGACTGCAGGATGCCAACCAAGAAGAGTGAGAGTGTTGTAGCTCTAAATCCTTGAGGCCTTGGCATGGCAACCAGGAGCTTGCCGGCAACTGTCGGGGTCTGAGAGCAGTGCTCTGAAGAGTGAGTCTCCAGAGGGCAGGCCGAGGATGAGTGGCAGAAATGGTGGGTGTTACATTTCTGAGGCAGTGTTAAGATACAGGAAGCAGAAAAAGAGACCCATCTGACCTCAGCAGAACGGACTGTTTAGTTCCAATGGCTAGGGCCGGACACAGAGGGAAAGGGGTGTCTTCAGAAGGGGAAGGAATACTTGGAGTTCATATAGGAGGTTTGGAGAGTCCAACTGCTGGAGCTAAGTGCAAGCCTGAAGTTCTCCCCTCCTGGAGTTGTTTGTCCAGACGAGGCCATTTTATCTTTAGAAACCGCCTCGGCCCAGGCTATCAGGATTCGCTTCAGAACGGGCCACTGAGTTTGGCGGTGGCAGTGATGTGGCAAGGCAGGGGCTAGAGTTTCACTACAGGGCTTGGTCAGGGCCTGGAGCAGTTTGTTCAGGTTTACTCTACCAGTGGGTCTCCAGGCAGGAAGGAGCCCCCTGCTCGAGGCAGGAGCTGAGTCTTTCAGAACAGGAGCAGTGCGAAGCCAAGGCAGGGCCCTGCAGCATGTCTCCAGCAGGCCTTAGGAGCTCCCAGACGCTGGATGAGCCTGAGTCTAAAGTCCTCAGAAGGGCATAACTAGGAGTCTGGCGACGGCAAAGGCCCGTTGGCAGGTCGCACCTGGGCTGATGGCAAGGCTGCTGCATAAGCTCAGGCAAAAGAAGCGTGGTCGACTAAGGTCAGATCAGAAGAATGGCTGTCAGCCCGGGAAGTGAACAAAGCAGGGAGGGTTTTCAATCCAGGCTAGTGCTTGTCCGCTCCCTCTCCCTCTCCCTCTCCTCTGTGCTCCAACAGAAGGAAGTGGGGGAAGGGAAGGAGAGAAGGGAGTCGAAAGCTGGGCTTTCATATCTTCCTGCTTTGGATCGCCGAAAGCAGTTGTTGGGGGAGGGATGAGTTCTTTGATCTCCGGCTGCCAGCTAGAAATGCCAGTCTTTGCTGGCCTTCAGTCTCCTGCTGGCTCTGGTCATCTAGGCTGTCCACACAGCCTGCTGCACCACCAGGAAGCCCCAGACCTCACTGGGCACCCCTCCTGCACTTACTTACCATCAGCAGCAGGACTTCCGTCTGCCCGAGCCCCTTTCTCCAGCCCAGGCAGGTTTTCTGTCACCTCTACACCTGGAGCGAAATAGAAGGATGCATCTTAGGACTGGGCACATAGCTCAGTTGGCAGAGTGCTAGCAGGCACAAAGCCCTGGGTCCCATCACTAGCCATGCACAAACCGGATGTGGTCCTGTGTGCCTGTAATTGCAGCATTGAGAAAGGGGGAAGCAGGAGGACCAAGAGTTCATACTCATTCTTGGCTGCATACATAGGCAGTTCAAGGATAGCCTGGGATACATGAGACCCTGCCTTAGAAAACAAGAAAGTAAGAGAGAGGGAAAGTATTTGCACAAAATAAACAACACCAGTAAAAAAAATTAAAACCCAGCCTGGCAATGGTGGCCCACGCCTGTAATTCCAGCACTCGGGAGACAGAGGCAGGTGGATCTCTGCGAGTTCAAGGCCAGCCTGGTCTACAACGTGAGTTCAGGACAGCCAGAGGTGCTACACAGAGAAGGCCTGTCTCGAAAAGCCAAAATAAATAAATAAAAGCCCTTATTCTGTGGTGATGTGGTATTGTATGTAGCTCTGGCCAACTGGGAGATAGGAGAGATTTACCATGTTTGGAAAACTTAAAGCGAAAATGGCAGGCATTTATCCTGGCTTCCTAAAAACACTACAACTCAGGTTGAAGAACCCATACACACGTGATGTGTGAGGGGATAAATCGCCACTGAAACTCAAAGTTGTAAAATATATTGGACTTATAATTTCTTGTGACTTTTCCTGAGGAGATATGAACACACATCTGTTCTTCCCAGATGGGGCACCAACAACAGACCAAAGAAACAATACATCCAAGTCTAGCTTGGTGTTCCTTCCATTGGCCTCCCTCCCTCCCTCCCTCCCTCCCTCCCTCTTTCTCTCTCTCTCTCTCCATCCCTCCCTCTCTCCCAATAAAGCTCTAAAAAGGTAACCATGGCTGTGATTCTTCCAATCAGCACTCTCCTCTGCAGGCATGGCCAGCCATGAGGAGCAGCGCCACAGTGTAACCAAAGATGAGTCAGTAAAAGTGTTTTCCACACATTGTGAAAATCTGAATCTGAATCCCCAGCACCACATAAGGGGGGCTGGAAGAGCAATCTGTAATCCCAGCACTAGGGTATGAAGATGGAGACAGGAGGATTCCTGGAGCTCAACAGCCAGCCTAGCTGACTCCATTAAGTCCAGGTTCCATATGTAAGTGACTAAGCAAAGCAGGCACCTTCAGGTTAATGTGTTAATGTCCCTTCAAAATATCCTTCCTGTTATGTTCAGCTAAAACCTTATGGTATAAGCTGAGCATGCCCATGGGCGTTTCTGTTCTTCCTTGGAATATGTACTCTCTGAGACTTTGAGCTAAACAGCAAACATGTCTACTGTCTTTTCCTTTGAAAATTGTAATCTTAAACTAAGGAAGGTCTGTAATTTACTCCCAACCAAACTGAGCATGCTTAGGAATTGGCCTACCTTTCTTTGACTATGTATAGCCCCCTGAATTGAATCTGCATGCTTTTCTTGTCCATGGAGAGCAGCACTTTGGAAATGACTCCCTTGCTCTCTTTGCCTACAGCATGGTGGTAACGAATATGTACCCATTCTTTTGTGTCTTGGCTGCGCTTATTTGGGCTTTGCATTCACCAAAATGTAAACCTACTGCATGTGATTACACATACACCACACACACACACACACACACACACACACACACACACACACACACACACCCCTCATGTTGCATAACAATTTCTACAAATTAATATGTTCCATCATTAAGACCTAGGATTTCTAAAGGGAGACTCATTAGACTCAGGAAGTCCCTGAAACTAACCAGATGCATCATACTCCTCTTTCCCCAAGCTTATTTATATAGGCAATAAAGACTGCTGAGAGACATTCTTGGACGAACTAAGCTGCCTAGAAGAGGCAGCGAGCAGCCAGTCTTCGCTGATCTTCTCTGACCTGTCAAGCAGCTTGTGGTGCAGCAACCCCTAACACCCCAGCTTTCAGAGGCTGTCATCCGTGCTGGGGTGGGCTTTGGGGATGCCGCTGCCCTTGAGTCATCGTTTCAGCTGTAAGTGACCCCAATAAAACCCTTTGCTTCAGCAAGTAGGACTTTGGTGGTATTTTTGCTTTGTCTTGGATAATTATCTGGGGGTGAGTAAACGTTTGTTCATGTCTTCCCAGGAGCACTGTCACCCAACACACACACACACACACACACACACACACACACACACACACACACATCATAATCATATATATGCAAAGCTGTTTGTACTTACTAAATGGGTATGTAGAAAAGGTATGTATATACCTTTGGACATGGAAGTAACCTGAAAGGCTGTTGAAATGAGCACTGAACAAAACTGATTGCACACATTTGTGAGAGTTATAAGAATTATTGATTATATGTGAATGGTACTGGTAAGTTTTTAAATATATTTTTTATTTTATTATTTTGTGTGTATGAGTATTTTGCCTGCATATTTTTACCACATGCAAGCTTGGTACCAGAGGAGGTGGGGAGCCTCCATGTGGATGCTGGGAATCCAACCCAGGTCCTTTCCAAGAACAACAAATGCTCTTAACGATTGAGCCAACTCTCTAGCCCAGGAACTGGTAAGTTAATAGTATCAGTTAATAGTATTACAATCTTAAGGCTATGGTCCCATCTATCAAGGACACCCTTCCCAACAGCCAGTACACAGTCTTAAGGTTGTAATAGAGGTGTCCTTCATTTTACATCTATAGGGAAATGTATGGATGGACTTCAGGTTGGATAATAGATACATTGATCTTTCCAAGTGGAAGCAGTGAGACAATCACCCCTTTATCACTTCAGTTTTATGTGATAACTTTAATCCTTGCAAACCCTACTTTAACTGCATTATGCCTTTCTTTCTTATTTTAGACATTGTCTTACTATGTATCCCTGACTGGCCTGGAACTTGCTGTGTAGACCAGGCAGGCCTCAAACTCACGGAGATCTGCTTCGGGTCTCCCAAATGTTGGGATTAAAGGTGTGAGCCACATGCCTGGCCTGGAGTATCATTTTATTGAGCCACTTTGTAGATGCCAAAGACTTGTGCCAACTTTTATTGTTCATGTGAGAATATTTATGTGCCATATAAACATTTTACTGCATTAATGTTTGAAAAATTTAGTCAAGCAAAGAGCGAAGGGTCAGCATTTCAAGTATATCCCTTTTTCTATATATTCTACTTCATTACCACTTAAAGATGAGAGGGATCAAAATAGTTATATATTTGAAAGGTATGCAGGGACAGCTATAATTTGAGCTAAGATGTGATTAATCCTGTGACTTTTGTCAATTGGAACAGTTTCACAATTGTTATTTATATTATAATGTACATTGTAAAGACACAAAAAACAATCAGGATTGGGAATGAAGTCAAGTCAAAGAGACCTTTCCTAGCATTCACAACTCTGAGCATGGCATAAAAGAAAAACAAAATAAAACTGTGCCTCCTGTTTTTTATGTAGTGGTTTATTGACTAATAAGTAACCTGGGCCTAGTATTGTGTTTGCTAGATGAGTGTTTACTCAGTACTTAAGGTTCAAAGTTCTCTTTCTTTACTCGTGGACTAGTAACTGCTTTGAGCTGAAGTTGTTTCTTTGATTCTTCACGTGTTTAAGATCAGAAGTTTACTTTCCTGGCTGCGTTTCTAAGTAGGGCCAGAGCCTTCAGCGGTACTCCCCCAAAAGCAGAATAATGGGCTCCATTATTGACTGCCTCCATTTTGACTCGTGTTTCTCTGTGAATTAAATGTTTTTCTCCTCTGTTTTGGATGTTTACCTACCACATTCCTGGGATTCCAGCTGACCCCCATTTGAGGGGTAGCCCCTCTCTTTGTTTTCAGCCAGCCACCCCCTCTGGAAAGTGCTCTAAGGACTTGCACCCTTGTTTGAGGCAGACCCACCCGAACAAAGAGGGCACATTGTTTGTAAGTTCCTTGAGCGCTCTGCAGAGCTGGAGGCACTGAACCAGCATTTCCATTTCTGTAGCTCGCCAGCCTCTCCGGCAGTCTCCAGGGGCATTCCTTCTTTATACTTAGTTGGTGAGGGGAATCCCCTTGAAAGAGGATGTCATTATCATAGTGCCATACAAGTGGGTCTAGAGAAAGGTAAACACCATCTAGAGACAGGCATGGTAGCTCATGCTTGTAATCTTAATACTCAGGAGACAAAGACAGAAGGATTATGGCAAATTCAAGGCCATCTTTGGCTACGTAGTGATTTTCTGGTCAGTGGGGGCTCCATAAAAAGATCCGGTGTGTGTGTGTGTGTTGTTGTTGTTGTTGTTGTTGTTTAATGTGTGTATGTATGGAGAGACAGAGACTACTTCAAGCTGTTGACCATACCTCATAGACGGTCTGCAGAAAGTGTGTTTTGTCCCTTCAGAGGTGTAGCACACTACAACTGGAAAGCTGTACGAGAGGCACTGAACAGAGCAAAGCAGGAAGCCTATTCTTTAAGATTCAAGGCAACACAAAGATTAAACGTGTAGACGGGACCCCAGTATGGGTAACCTGATGAATGTCTGTCCAGGTACAGTTGAGCAATTACTAACATTAAGCTATATCTCATGTATGTTGTACATTCAGAAAACTTAACTGTTACCTTTTTTAAAAAAAAAAAAATCTTGAAGTTTCACAAATTCTTTCCTATATAATTTAGCATGCAAAATATGGATTTCCAGTTGCATGCAATTCTGTAATTTTCTAAAAATTAAGTTACATGTTGAGGCAGGAGTTAGCTCATGGTAGGCATTAAGGAAAAGAGCCCACGGTGAAAAGTACAAGTTATTCTGTATACTCCGGTGAGGATGGATATTAAGGTTAAAAGGCAATGTAAGGATTAAAACAGTGACTCCAGAAGCACCAAGAGGAGACTAAGACATTTACAGCTGGGTATGAGATGGCCCAGCAGGCTTGACAAGAGACGAGGAAGCTCAAAGAAGCAAGGCCAGTGACAGAGGCTGGCTAGCTTTTTGGAGACGTTTCCCCTTTGG